ATGCACCTGAGAGTTTTCATTAAAAAGACTGCTCTTGATGTTATCAATCCTAATATTGTTTTGAGGGTTTTTCTTCTGATTCTGAGCGACAGGACCATCAGCAATTTCAGAAGAGCTGTTTATCACTGCTCTCCTGCCAGCATGGCTTGCTTTGGGGATTTATTTTTATTTTTTTTTCTCCCTCTTGGTGCTTGTCCAGACATTTCAGGCAAGTGGGAGCCTTTCAGCTGCCAGGAGTAGCAGGTTAGGAAGAGTGTGAAATGAAAACAGGGAGCAAGGTTTGTGAGGACCTCTATGGAGGCAGGATGACTAGAATGGTTTTAATGCTGGGTAGAATTTTAAAAATGCATCAGAACACTGTGCAATGATAAATAATATACAATGCAATGATAATAAATATACAATCCACAATATAAAACCCACAATTTGAAATTCACATGGAAATTCATTTAAAATTTACAGAAACTTTGTGCTTCAGCAGAAAGGACTCCTCTGTTTTTTGAAGTAAAAGTACAAGGTGGATCCAGTCCCAGGGAGCTCACAGTCTGAACATGAATTTTATTCCCCTTCTACAAGTAGAAGTCTGAGGCAGAGATATAGGGAATGATCATGAGGGCTTTTAAAAGCAGCCTGTGGTTCAGGTTCATCAGGGACATGTCCCAGCCCTCAGCTGGACTCCTTTTCCCAGGCTTGGGAAGTGTTTAAAGGAGATTGTGGAGCCACTGGTGATGCCTCTAACCAGAGAACAGAGTTGGGTCATTTCTACCCCAGAAGACCACACAGCACCTGTAGGAAACACAAACATTTTAAAAACCATTTCAAAGGCAGCTGTCCAAGCTAAGCTTCTTCCTACCCCCCTTCAACCTAGCGTAGTCAGTGGGGAGATGCAAGTCCACTTCACAGGGTGATTCCCCACCAGTGCCACCTGAAAATGGGATTATTCCTGTCTGGAAAGTCTCTCTGTCTGAGCTACAGAGGAAACTTTGCTTTTCTGAGTAGGGCAAATGGGTCAGGAAAAAAAAAGTTAGACATCTGAAGTTCAACTAATCCAGATTTAACCTATAGTTGAATGATTTTGTGCTTCCTCAAAAGTCAGCAGCACAGAAAAGGGATCCCAAAGGATCATCCATCCCTCAAAGGAGAGCAGTGAATAGGTGGAATAACTGAATAAGTGGAAGCACTTTTCTTCTATGAGAAGGACAGAAGCACTTACTCAGGACCAGCTGGCAAGTTCTGCACCACGTCTGATATCTGGGGTGAATCCCACAGTGTTCCCCAAATTCCAGCTGCAGGTTGCAGTGCCCACACGGGAAGGGAAGGTAGGATTTGTGCTTTCTGCAAACAGCCTTGGGTTGTGCCAGGGGAGGTTTAGGTTGGATATTAGGGAAAATGTCTTCACTGGAAAGGTGGTCAAGCATTGGAAAGGCTGAACAGGGAAGCGATGGAATCACCATCCCTAAAAGTGTTCAAAAAACACATGGATGTGGTACCTGGGGATAGGGTTTCGTGGTGGACTTGGCAGTGCTGGTTTGATGTGCTGAGAGGGCTTTTCCAACCTTAATGACTCTCTAAATCTGTGATTGATTCCAACACCATCCATCAGCAACACCACCATCTGTAATTTTTTTCTTCATTCCGTCCCACGTGAAATCTTATCTTTTAAAACTAATCCTTGTTATTACTGATTTCCTAAAATGCTAAAAACTAGCAAAATTTGTCCAGCTTCAATTGGAGTGTGGGAGCCACCTCTTCCCAAGCCTTCTTGGGCATCCCTACGTCACTGGGCATTATTTTGATTCCAACACCATCCATCAGCAACACCACCATCTGTAATTTTTTTCTTCATTCCGTCCCACGTGAAATCTTATCTTTTAAAACTAATCCTTGTTATTACTGATTTCCTAAAATGCTAAAAACTAGCAAAATTTGTCCAGCTTCAATTGGAGTGTGGGAGCCACCTCTTCCCAAGCCTTCTTGGGCATCCCTACGTCACTGGGCAGTGGGGAGACCCCGTCAGTGCCAGAGGAGACCCTGCTGGGCAGTTTCACACTCAAGTCACTTTGATTTCCGTGGGCAGATTTCACCCAGCAGGAATTGCTGGCTGCAGCGTGGTTTACAAATGTAGGGAGATTGTGCACGCTGCCCTTTATTCCATTTAATTTTTATTTATATTTTTGTTCTCATCCTTTTCTTTGCTCTTTTTAATTATTTGTTTCAAATACGCTTTTCCAAGTGGGATCAGACAATGTTCTTATTGATGGGGAATTCTTTACAATCTCCATCTCTCCCCTATTTTAAGGTAAATTACGTGCTGCTTCTCTCTCCCCTCTCTCCCAATGTCAGCACATCAGTGTTTTCTAACACAATGAACTTGTAATTTCTTTTTAAATGGGGCTGGTTTTTATCTCTGCATGGAATTACCACAAAATCAGCCACCTGCTATAACTGAATTTCCTCCATACTGCCTTGGGATATTTACTCTGGATGTTCCTGTTCTGCAGCCTGAGGATATCCTTGCATTTCTCTGGTTTGCATTATCCATTGCTGGATAATATCTACATATTGGAAGATATCTCTGTTGAAATAATAAGAAGAAATAAGAAAGTTTTTCCTATTGCTATTCAACACAGTTAACTCAAGCAAGACCAACAGGTGTTTCTCCAAAGATCTCATTAAGCACTGATTATCTCCAGCATCCCTTGTAAGCAAATTCTCATTAACGTGGATGTTCACACATAATTTACTTTTGTACATAGTGCCACGCTTCAGTGAGCTATAAACCTGTTGCTGCACATCCTCAGATTTACACGGAAAATGCATTTCCTGCTGCATGAACACACAAACTATCAAAGATAATAAAATCTAATAGCACTCAATGTGGTCTTGATTTCTATCTTTGGTACATAAACAGTATCACAAAATTATAAAATCAGAATATCCTGAGCTGGAAGGAACCCACAAGGATCATTGAGTCCAACTTCTGGTACAGGACACCCCAGTGTCCCCACTGTGTGCTGAGAGTGCCCAAACCTTTCAAACCCCAGGTTTTGAGACTTTTAGAAATATTCTAGTGAATTACAGCACTCATGGGATGAGATCCTCATCTAGCAAAGGAAACAATCTGGGACAGGAGTGGGAAAAGAGAGGTAGAGGAGCAAATCTAAAGATTTCTTTATATTTTTCCAGCTCCCGTGATGATTTAATGAGCATTTCTGCCACAATTTTGTATTTTGGTGGGTCTTGTTATTGTGACGTTGAACATCACAACAACATTGTTTGACACTGACCTAATTCTTTAAACACCAACTTACACAGAGCTGCTCTACTCACCACACATGGTGCTCTCAGCCTTCCATTTTTGTGAGAAAAACAAAACATAGGACTGGAAAAAAAAAAAAAAAAAAAAAAAAAAAAAAAGAATGAAAAAAAAAAAAAAAAAAAAAAAAAAAAAGAGTGGATTTGCTACCACTGAAGCTGATGGTAAAAAAAAAGACACCAAATCCAGTGCTGAGAACATCCCTCCTCCACTAATGGGGACCTGCTGAGTCACCAGAGCTGGTGGAGCCCACGCAGCTTTTACGAGTTCAGCACCCACGTCTCGTTATATTGGACTCATGCCAGGCAGAAATCCTTGGAAGTATTATCTGCTTTTCCTGAAGGTTTTATTTCCCTTGGCACGCAGTCAAAGGGAGAGGATTTTGACAGAAAACCTCGTAGAAAATCATGGAGCTGGAGGCTCTTTTTCAGTTGATAGGATTATTTGCTCAATCCCAACATCAAATGCAAAACAGCAGCGGAAATATTTAGGTTTGGTTCTCCTTTCTTTTCCTGCTGAGGCAAAAGATTATTTTTATTTGAGATTCACTCGCTAAGTATTTTTTTTAAATATTCGTAGTAAATTTGAGATATTTCTCTGAGTTTTTGTGTACTCAGGATAAGCCTTCTAGGTTTGTAAGATGGTAAAATGGTTTTTGCAGGATTACAGGAAGATTTATTCTTCTTGAAAGCCAGTTTTTCACACCTCTGGCACAGAGACCAGAAAGAAGCAGGAACTGGGTTCCTTTACTCTATTTACAATAAATTTTAAATTAATTTTTCTTTTATCCCAAGAGAAGACAGCTCCCATCCATGGTCCCATATCTTCTCTTCCTGTATTCATGTAGCAGAAAATGGGGACTTTTTACCACTCAGAACTTCTAAGTTTGCTTCTAAGTTTGTTACCTGAAGCCTCATCTTTGAACTGTTATTAAAGAGCTGAATCTATTTTTAGCTTAAGCAAGAAATCATTAGAGGTCAAAAAAATCCTCTTAATCCTCTTTTGACATTGTGATTTTATATTCTCTAGAGCAAAGGCTGCAGTAAAAATAATGAATGATGTTAGGACAGTTTTTTGGTAAGGAAGGACATCTTTTTAAGAAATTAAGTGGGATGGAAGAGTGAGTTTGTCTCACATATCCACACAAATGGCTTCAGGATGAAGCAGAAACTGCTTTTCAGTTTTCAGACACATTCCAAAATGAGTGAGTTCCCAAACCTTTACAAGGATTAAAGCCAAAGGAAATTCATGGAACTTAATCAAAGATATGATCCATAAGTTTTTCTGTTGCTTTTTTTGGGGTTTTGTTTTTTGTTTTTAATTATTAACCCAGCCCTTCTGAAAGATATTTAAATGGCAGTAGGTTTCATACTGAATGGAAAATTTGTTTCTGGCATGTTGGAGTGAAATTGGGACTAAGGCACAGAAATTAGAAATTGGGACTAATGCCATCTTCTAGGAGAGTAAAGTCTGGCCATTACTGTGTGATGCCACTAAGGATTTTATGCTATTCCTGTAAATGGAAAATATTTTTTTTTCTCAGGGAAATTGACACTGTTTATTATTCTAAACAAGAATATTTTAATTTATAGGAGGAAGAACTAACCACAAAGCTCAGTAACAGTGTGAGGAAAGGGATGGATTTGCACCACTAACATATTTTATCCCTCCTTCTCTTCCACAGGGTGCCCAGGAATGTGGGACAATATCACATGCTGGAAACCTGCAAGTGTGGGAGAAATTGTCTTTGTCAAATGTCCTGCACTCTTCAGATTTATCATCTCTGAAGATGGTAAAGTATTTTCTCTTTCTTCTTCACCTCTGCCTGGTAAAGCCTCATGATCAGCACGAGTGTAAAACCTCACTTAGATCCTCAGGATAAAGAGACATCAAAAACTCTCCAGCTGGGCTCCAGCTATAAATAAATTGCAAAAAACCAGGATATTTGTGTGTAGATACATGAGTGTGCAGGGGGTGGGAGGGAAGGTGTGAAAAAAAGCCTTCACAGACTACACAACATGAAAATACCACAAATTTGAGCTGCTAAAGGGAATATTCAGCTGTTGGGTCTCACTGAATTCAGTGGGGATCCAAATCTGTGTTTGGGTCTTGGGTAACACAGTTGGAATCAGTTTTAGGAAATAATCAAAATGTAGAGCAGGTTCTGCGTGTGCTGAAGGAGAACTTGAGATGAGCAGTGAGGAGCTCCATGTTGGGGTTCAGGGGGGAATTAAAGATTTCTGGAGAGAAGCAGAAGTTCCACCACATTTTTGTGTGCGATGATTTTTGTTTATGTCTCATTAAACACAAAAATAAACACAGACATAAACATCCTTCTGTCCCTGTGCTGGTAATTAGCACAGATTGGTCCATTTGCTCCCAGCACCCACTGCAGATCCCTTAATTAGCACTCTCCTTTGAGGAACAAGTTCATCACCATGGATCCTTTTTCCCAAAGTTTATTTTGTCAATTAATTATTCACTTACAGCCTCGAGTCCAAAATCTGGGTTTTTTGCATTGCCACACACTCAGAGCACCATTTTTAGGAGACAGTGTTTTCTACACAGCTCCAGGAATTCTGAAATCCTCACTTTTAACACATCCATTCCAGCGTGTCCAAGGACAGGCATCACCAATGTCACCTAAGCCATGACCCACTTTAGAAAAAAGATCAACTCAATTTGATCTGTTCCAGGTCTTAAGTGAATAGTTACCTGTTAATGGAAAAAATACTTTTAAATAGAAATATTTTTTAAATTTGAATTAAATTATTTAAATTAAAAATTAGATTTTTTAAATTACATTTATTTTATGTTTTCCTAAACAAAAAATTTATATATTTAAATAAAGTCAGGATTTTAGTGTATTTATTATATTCATATGTAAATAAATAAAGATTTTATTTATTTACATGAATTATTTAAACAAAAGCAATACAAAATGTTTGCATTAAAATATAATTTCGTTCAATAAAAATGATAGAGGGTTTAGAAGAGCAAATATATATATATAATATATATATTATATAATATATTATGTGTATTTTATATAAATATTATATATAATGTATAATATATATTGTATTTTATATATTATATATTATGATAATATACATATATATTATATAAGCTTAATATATAAAGTTGTATATATAAACTCTGTTTATTTATTTATTTATTGCTCTATTTATTTTATCTGTGTAAAATAAAGGCTTGAAATAACATTTTTAAATAATTTTCCCTGGATTTACAGATCTCCTCACACACTGTACTTCCCATTTGGCCTGTGGCAGGGTGACAGTACGACCCTAAGGGGAGAATTTTCCATCCAGTGGAAACATATGTCCCATTCCTTTATCTGCTAATGGGATCCCCAATAAAAGTGACAGCTGTTACCTCATGTAGGGCTGGGTTTGAGGGGTTTTTGGACTTCTGTTCACCAGGAACATACCCAAGATTCATCATTCATTAGATAAACAAATAAACATTTAACCTGGAGTAGCTGGAAATCTTGGGATTGCACTGCTGACCCCAAGGTGGAATTACCAACATCCCAGTTATCAACTTCCCATTCACTCTCCTGGGTGGATCAGCATCAGCTTCACCATCATTGCTGCTAATTTTAATTAGCCAAGTGTATTTGTTCAATGAGGGTTTAATGAAAAAAGTCACATTTCATGATGGTTCCCTAAGTAATGGGTTATTAGAGAACGATAATGTTTCTAAGACATGGATAATCACATTTTAGGGATTGTTATAGTGTCCTCTGGCTGCTGCTCTGTTTCTAGAATATGGAGCTAGGCTGGGCATGGACACTAATATTTATTAATAGCAAAATCATTCCTAGTACAGCAACATTTTTATATGGCCATAGATAATTTTTACAAATGCAGCAATAACTTTAAATTATACTTTTGAAAAGTTTGTGCTCTGAAGCACCTGTAGGTACAACGTAATCCCAGGGCAATCATAGGGTGTGCTGATCTTAAAGAGTGGGTGGGAAATATCTCACCTGGCTTTGGATATTTAAATTTACATGTGAATTTATGAAGTGATTACATGGATTTCTGGTTCAGTGAATAGAAATCAATGGGCTCTTGTAGAAGATGCTTTCTTTGACCCCTCTCAAATGCTTGTCTGGAGGTGAGCAAAGTCACTGCTTGTTTTGTGAATTTCAGAAAGGAATCTGACTGCCTTTACTTAGATGTCTGATTTCCATATGGAGCAAAATGGGGAAAAAAATAAAAGAGACTACAAGAGAAAAATTAACTAACTTAGCTGTCATCTGGAGGGATGCTTTCTGGAAAAATTAGCTGTGTATTTAGCTAAAAATACCAGCTGTTGCTGGTTTTAATCTGCTCTGCTTTAACCTTCACTGCAATTAAACCAAAGAGTAATTTTTGGGCTGCTGTCACCATCCTGCAGAAAGTTCAAAGTGAAATTCTGTGTGCTTGGCAACCGTGCCTTCTAAAATTTCATTTCACCTCTCTGATCCTCCAGAATCACAAGAATTTTTCATTCCTTTCAGATGCAGGCTGTGAACGAAAGTATTGCTCTTAAAATCTCTCCACTGGAGATTCCTTTCCTCCAATGGAAAAAAGCTTATTAGTTCCTGAGTCTTTTCTCATCTTGTAAATTAGGGATTACAGTGTCTTTCCTTCTAGATAGTTCCCAAAAAAATATTTTTTTCCCTCTTCCACGTGGATTTCTGTGATTGATATGCATCAATCATTATTTCCACCTGGAGCTGTCACTTCCATGCCCTCTCTGTTGTATGTTACCATTTCTCCAGTGCCTTCCCAGCACTGGCTCCAGAAACACCCACTCCACAACAGGACATATTTAAAGCATTCTAAGGCATATTTGAAGAGGTAAAAAGAAGAAAACCACGCCAAGCTGTGATGTTACCTTTCAGTAGGACACAGCAAGACCTGGAGATAGCTCTACCATAGTGATTTGCACTCCCACCTGGAGAATTTTCTCTTCTTTGTTGTTTTTTTCCCTTTTTTTTTTTTTTTTTTTTTTTTTTTTTTTTCCAGGCAGAGGTGATATTGCCTGGCAATGGAAAGCTACAGAAGCAAAATCTGTGGCTTTTTCTGCTTGGCACTGTACAGCTGAAATATTCTGGAATGTATAAACACACCCAAATGAAACTCAATAACCACATCAGAAATGAACATATTTTCAGTCCTTTGATTTGCAGTAAGAAATAATACAAAGGATAATTGACAGTTTCTGAGCATTGCCATATGCTCCACATTTGGAAAATGCTTTCATTCACAAATCCTAATAATAAATATGAGCAGCTCTTACTGAATCTTCCAGCAATTCAGGTAGTTTATCTGGTGCTCAGTTAGAATGCTCCCTGCTACATTTACCACAAAACATGTTCACTATGTACAACAGAGAAAATTCTCCTAATTTTTACCAAAGTCATAAAACCTATCCTAAACTGACACCATGATTAAGGGTTCCTAATTAAAATCCAGTAGAATAAAGAATGTAATCAGGTGTTAGGGATTTTAAGAGGGAATTACATCCTCTGCTCACATTTCAGAACCAAACTCTTTGGCTTGTTGCTTCTCTTGGTTGAACACAATCAGTGCTCAGGCAAAGAGCTCTGTTATCCCAAGAAATTGGAAATAGTCTGTCACTGATCCCATTTAAAACACAGGGAAACACTCAAGTACTTTGTTGTACTAATTAATTGATTAATTGATTGTGTGAGAAACCCAAGCCTCATAAGTGCTGCACTGGAGATGCTGAGGGTGGACAGTGGGATTAATGAACACGGGGTTAATTGGATTTGGGAAGCAGTCTGTGCCTGAGTTTAGATTTATCCCTAATCAATTAGAATAGGATGACAAGAGAAGAGTTAATGAGAGGGAAAGTGATGCTCTATCTCCAAATCCATTTGTGTCCTTTCTGGGGAGACAGTCCTGGTAAAGCCTTTAAAAGCTGACATGGGAAAATGGTACAAAACCCCCTGAGTGGGTGAAAGACAATAAAAGTCATTTCCCAAAGACAATAAAAGTAATTTCCCATTTCATTTCCCAAAGTGAAAGCTGTTGGACATATTTGCAAGTTACAGTTTCTATTAGTTTGGGTTATGTATTGATATTTTTTTGTTTAGACAGGAAGAAAAAGTGACTGATAAAGATCAGGGGCCTCCTGAAAACCCAAATATCCCTGGAAGATTGTATGCTTATTTTTACTGAGGTAAAAGATGAAGGGTTTTGTTGCTACTGCTGAAATTAAGGTCAGCATTGCAGCAGAGGGAAATTGGAAATTGCATTAGCCTGTCAAAAAGGCAAAAGATCAATGCAAAGGTCCAGATTTCTCTTCAAGGATGTTTTTCCTGGATAAGTATTCCAACATCCTGCTTGGAAACCGAGGGAAGGAAAGCCCTGTAACCAAATTTTCTATGGAAAACATGTAAGACCCATCCCAGCATTCTCATCGTGGGAATAATGAGCCATTGGAGCTTATTTGTATTTATTTATTTATTGAAGCAACCAGGACTTTGTTTCATCTTTAATTTTATATAAGATTCTACATAGCAGTCATAACCAAGTTCAGTGCAAAGGCATCCATTTTATATATAAACCATTTAAAAAATTAAAAAGAAAGAAAGAAAAATATATATAAAATGGCACTTGATAGATAACAAGTCATTTCCAGCTGGTTTTCATCCATGGGCTTTGCACAGGGAGTAAAGCCATGAGATTACTCCAGCTTTTCCAAAGAGAGGAAGACAAGCTATAATTAAGCCTTTGTGGTCACAACATCATG